CCCCCCTCCTCCGATGAACACCAAAGGCTCTAAACCCAGTTCCAGACGGCCACGTCAAATCGAACCCCTTGCATTCCCCGAGGGGGGTCATGAACGCGGCAGCTCGCGGTCGCATCTCCGAAGACACGCCGTGGGAGCCACCGTCCATGAAGGAGGCCAAGAATTTCGAGGACGAGCTGCACCTTAGGCACCCGGAGGGGGGAAAGTTCGACGCCCGGGAAGCTGCGATGGGGCGGTATTGCTTTCTTGGGGGTTGCGGGGAGCAGCTTGACCTCTGGGATGAGGTGAGAACGAGGGCTCCTTTGTGCCTCTCAGTGGTTGCCAACGAGCTGTTCTCCTTGGCGTTCATTCATCGTGACCTCTCGAAGTTGACTCTTGGTCGTGGTGTTGTGCTCTTTATGTCGACGCATGCATAGCCGGGTATCGGGCGCCAAGGACTTTGTACTCTGTGTGTCTTGACGCGGATTGCGGTATGTTGCTCTGGAGCTGATTTCCTTTCTCCTCTATGTACACTTATCGAGTGCAGGTTGGACAACAAACGGCTTACCCGTCGTAACGGCATCAGCAATGACGAACGTGACAGTGGTGCATCACCCTCCGCTCCGTCGTTCTTTTCTTTCTACCTATCACTCTTTGCTTCCATTGTCCCGCGCATTTGAACCGTTCCTTGGCCTGCTCGACCGCTCTTGTCATGCCATGGCGTTCCGCTGCTTACCGCTGCCATTCTTTCGTATCCGAACACACGGCGCCCACATCCACCATCCGAACACCATTAATCACCCTAGCCCCGCCCGATAACGCGCTATACCACTGCATCGTGAACGACAAAACCAGGGCAAGATAAGCCAGTTCGCGCCCTTCGGGGCGGGCGTGACGTCATACTTCAAGTTGCTCAAGTTCTTCTCGTGGACGTTCCTGGTGGTGTCCTTGTGCGTCCTGCCGCACCTGTCCATCAACACTAGCGGAGACGCCATCACGACCTTCACCACCAACACGGACAGGATGTCGCGGACGACGGTGGGAAACATCGGCGGGGGTTACAACTCTTCAAACATGGTGAGGTTGTCGCGCTTTGTAGCTGCTGTCGTTGTGTGATGTACTTGTGGTTCGTCGTTGATTGGTGCTGTAGCTCTTTTCGACAGCAAGGCGGTGTTGCCATTCGTCTCGGATCTAACCCGGTCGTTTGGTACGGTTTGTTCGTTTCCATAATTTTCTTGTGCTGTCCGTTTTCTCTCCTTCCTTGTGGCTATTGTCTTCCGTGAGTACCTATCTTCGGTCGTTCGTGTATTCTCCGAGGGTTGTATACTGTTTTGCTCTGGTCATGTGTGGTGCATTGATCCTCTGGGTGCAATATGTTTTACCCCTTTGGATCAAGTGATCTATGAACCTCGCATGCCTGGCTGATAGGAGCAATGGCTGGTCAATCGTCGATGAGTCCGTGACCCAACTTGACTTGTGCAATGTTCTCAAAAACCCAAGAATGTCCTAAATGCCAAAGGCCGATATCGTAACTGTTCCCAGTCCTGAAGGGGTCACGCTGATGGCCGGAAACTACCCAGCCAGCCGCGCCGATGTAGCCCAACCTTCCCCTTTATCCTTGCCCTCCACGAAACACCTGGTCAAATCCACTGGTTCTTTCTCCGTCCCCTTACCAACACCGCGCCCAAACTACACATACATGCGGTTCATTTTTTCCCGGGCGGTCTCATCACAGGCGGTGTTGCCGTTTTGCGACGTGGAGCAGTACAGCACATGCCTCATCGAGCTCGACACCCTGGGCTTGTACTACGGGTGCATCGACGCCCTCATCACCATGTTCTTCCTCGTGGGATATTTTTGGGTGAATTCTTTCATCAGGGATGAGTTCGAGTCGATCAAGAGGACCACAGTCACAGCCGGAGGTAAAAGCACAGGAAGGAGTAGAAAAACAAAAATATAAACAAACGCGTTTGATTCTAAAGGTGTCGTGTAAGACGCTTCGGTAGCCGGGCGTGAAGCACTGCTAATGGCCGGGGTCGAAAGGCAGCTGTGGTAAGTTCAAGGATTGGTCCGGTGGTTGCTTTACACGGGCGTCCCCCGTGCCGTTTCGGGGGATTCGGCGGTGAGTGCGTGTTTGCTTCTTCACGACCATTTTCGCCCATCGAGAACGAGTTCGACTGCTGTGCCAGCTACAGTAGTATGCCGAGGATCGGGTGTGATGGTGGGGATTCTCGTGGGTTGTAGCATACACAGGCGATATTTTTTGATACCTTTCACACTGGTCGGCGATGGTTGGCTTCGAATGAGGTTATCGAACAACGCAGTCGGCCGTCGCGGGAGAAGAACGACACGTCGAAATATTACAGTATCTCGGATGCCACAATGAAGAACAAGGCCATGCCAACAAGGGCTTGGAAAACAATGTAGCATCGCAATGCTCGTCGAGAAGAAGAAGCACCCGTTACAATTTTCCCCTTCTCCCACCCAGCACTCGTTGCCCCGGCGAACCTTGACGCTTGGCTCCTGTACTCCTTTTTTTGGCGGTGGCGGCAGACTTTACGGTCAAGGTAAGGGGTGTGCCCCCAGACATCACGGAGGAAGAGATCTCGGAGCACTTCAGCAACCTGCTTGACAGGAAAGTTGTTGAGGTGAGGAACGTTTACGATGTGTGTTGGTCGGCGAAGAGAACGTACGGTTTGTTCTAGGCGTGTTGACGGACGCCTTTGTAGCGATAACGTCTCCGTTCTTTCTATAGGAGGTAGCCTACTGTAGGGTGTGAGCACGAGTCGATCTTCGCGTCGCCGAACGGACGACTGAGTAACTGTAGCCGAGGCGAACGATGTTGGCGCGAGTATCCAGCCATCGTCTATCTGAACGTCTGATCGCTGGTAGCTACAGAAAATAAATTTTTCCCAACGTTCAAGGACCACACTACGACTGTGTGCGTTTCAACCCAACCATTGTTGGTTCGAAGGTGGCCATTGCCCGGGACAACCGGAAAGGCATCGAGCTCTACTCTAAGTCCGGCAAGCTTTACCACGAGCGTGCCGCCACACGCGACTTGATCCGCTACATCAAGACCAAGGCCCAGTCACGCGAAGACCGGGCTCACAAGATGGAGGAAGCTCGGTCTGGTGAGTACCGCGGGTCCACGATGAGAGAAGAGCCACGATAGCTGACGTATATGACGGTGGTAGGTGATTGGTGCCGTGTGCTCGAGGAGGAGACTCAAGTCGTAGTGCAGAAGTGACGATCCCACACGCAACGCAAAACGAGCTACTGTATAATCCCAACGAACGCCGGCTCTAGGGGAGAGACAGTGAAGTGGGTAGCCCCCCCCCCCCCCCCGTGTTTTAAAAACACTCCCTCATGCGCGTAGTCATTGAGCCAATCTCGCCTCATATCGAGGTATGGTCTATGTCGACGCGGTGGGCGATTGGGTGGACGGGCGTGCTGGGTTCGTTGATTCCCTGACTGATGATTGATGGATGGCACCAGACAGTTCTTTTTCAGCTGCCGCCACCAATAATTTGGCGAAGGAGGCTGTTGGTATCCGCCCTAGTCTGCTACGTGACTTGAGCTTGTGGCCAATTTGGTTGTACCTCAATGCGCTTTGCTTCGATCAAGTACCTCTGCCCCCACCGCGATATGGGTTCTTTTGTGTTAACATTCCCCTCTTTCCGCCTGATGCGTGGATGCCCTGTGCGAGCGAAGACGGTGGCAGGAGGCCCAAGAATGCCCGGCCTGTGAGGAAAGAAGGGTGTATCGAGCGATTCTTCAGGGAACGCAAGGCGAGAAAACACACAAACACCTAGATCTACACCAAAGATTACTACGTGGTATATGGTATGGTACGCATGTGTTGGCGAACAAGAACCGAAAACGACGAAGAAAGCACTTTCAAAGAAAATTTGCTTCCTTACTTCCTTGCTTACACAAGAGCTCACGAAATTCTAGCTGCAAAGGAAAAGCAGAAGGGTCTGCCAAGACCTTCCAGTGGATGCAAATGGCGAGGTTCAACACTACTGTAGAGCAATAAGGAAGAAAAACAAACATGTTAGATATGTACTTCACCAGAACATCATAGTGATACTTCCCCACATCAACAACATTGCCAGCGTTCGGACGCCTACGCTTTCCAGAAGGAACACGGCAAAGGCCAGCAAATCCGACCCATGGTCACTAGAAACTGTTCCTGTTACTGCAGATCCGCCAGCTTCAGGAGAAGCGATCTAAAGCTAGCCGGAAAATCATACACTTCGCGATGGAGGCCAAGATGGCCGTCATGATGACCAACAAGGCAGTGGCTGCCTATGTGACCTTCGACGACGAGATGGCGGCTGTAGAAGCTAGGGTAAGAAACCAGACGTTCTTGCCGTTTTTTTTTTACAATTATATGTATATCCAGCCATGGCCTAGCTTAATACGCCCATGAGGTGGCTGGCGGTCCTAGAAGCTAGAAGGTAATACCTACTACATTTTGGTCGTGTCGGAATGTTTTCGTTTGCGATATCTATCTGGTGGAGTTTGTTGCGATGTGAATGTCGCGTCTGAGTTAGGGGAATGAGTATTAAGGGAAGGAGGGCGAGAGGGACGGGAAATGAATGATGAGCAAGAACCCGCATCTCAAACCCGGTAGTATTGTATTGCTATTTTGATGGAAACTGGAAGGTTTCCTACAGTGGCAGCTGGATCACGCGACTGTGCGCCAAAGAGAATATGAAGCTTAAGGGCAAGCGCATCAGCGTTGAGGAGGCGCCCGAGCCGTCGACGATCTTGTGGGAGAACTACGGCTACCGGAGGTACGATGAGTCCCGGAAGCCAACTACTCGGTACCAATAGAGCAACACGTGCTAAACCACGAAGCTGCTGCTGCTGTCGAAGTAGTTCGACGGCAGATCATTGTGCGGTAGCGCCATATTTTCTTGTTTCCTTCGAATCGCTCGTCCTGGGTAAGGAGCACCTTTGTCCGGTCCACAAGAGCAGTCAGACCAGTTCTCTATTAATCGACGTAATCTAACGTGTTTCAAGCCTTTGAAGAGATGACCTTGAAAACTGTCGGCGGTTACTTCTCGAAGTCTGCTGGTCTAGCAAACATGCAGAAGGCTCAAATGTGGGGGGGGAGGGGGGGCATGTGGCGATGGCCTGAAACACGCGTCTCATCTCCCCAACGTCTGTCGACGACGACTTATTCCCTCTTTCAACGCATTTCCGTGCTTTTCTTGTGATGTTTGAGCGTTTTTCGTTTTTTCCCGGTCTTGGCGTGTATCCAAGGTTATGGTTCGTCAGATCGACATGAACGTCTTTAACTGATCCATATCTTCGGGTACGATCTGCGGTTCACAAAAGCGTTCAAAGAGACTTCGTGGTGACGTTCCCCTCTTCGCATCGACCAACCCCTGCTAATAGGCAACAAACGCATACACGATCGTCTAATTTCCGTTTCGGTTATCATGTCATTTGACGTTGATTGTTCCGAAGGTGCGAGCTGTGGACGCGGCGCACGGCGACCTTGCTCATTGGGACGAGCTTTATCACCTTGTCCATCGGCATGTCTATCTATGCCCTCTACCAGAACCAGCAGGCCGAGAGCGAGGTACGACGAGTGTAGTGCTCCCCTCGTGAGCTGTTTGTACAGCACGTTTAGCTATCATCGTCTAAGGTGTTGTCCGCAACATGTACCATGCATGGTGGCCATGAACAAAGCATTAAGTGATACTGAATCCCCCTTCCTCTTAACCTGAACCCCTACAGCGCATGGCATACCGCCTGTGAGTACCCTTAAGTGTGTCAAGGGCAGGGCGGCCCCTGGCGTTTGGTGTGGATGGTGCCTATCAGCTAGATTGCCGGCGTCGAACAGTTCATTGCGGGCCTCTGTGCTCACAACCAGGCCCCAACTATGCCTGCTTTTCCTGCGAGCTACGCTGACAAGAACTTTGGCATACGGCTGGCAATGCCGAGTGGAAACCGAATACGAAAACGGTGTCAATACAGTACCTGGGCCGGCCCAACGAGACACACGGTCCCGGAGCAAAACACTCGTTCATATATACTCCCCCAACGAATTCGAAAAATGTTGGGGTGTTTCCGAACACGACCTCTCCCCGCCAACAAACGACGACTCACGTCTACAACTTGCGCTACCTCCTGCTGATAATACGTTACCTGGTGCACTGATGGCACAAGGGGGGCACCGCGGAGTGTCCCGAGGGTTGGGATGCACTGTCTAGGTGGGAACAGGAAGATGCTGTTGCGGAGGACGGGACTATCTTGCACTGCCTCTGCGACGGTGCTGATGGTTCGGCATGGACGCTAAGCCCCAACGACGTCTGCTACGAGTACGCCTGGGTAAGTTTATTTCTCTCGTGCTCCTGCCGACTTTGTTGTTGTTATCGTGGGTTGTGATGGTGGTTGTTGCTGTTATCGTAGGTTGTGATGGTGGTTGTTGTTGTTATCGTAGGTTGTGATGGTGGTTGTTGCTGTTGTTGCCGGATGCTGATGGTGTTTTAGCAGTGGATTGCGGATATAAGGAAAGAGACACTGTTCTTAACGTTGGATGAATAGACTGGATCAGATGACCCGACAACTTCGGTCATTTTTTGTCTTCCAGTTGGAGAAACACTCAACATCTCCCAGGTGCCGTGTTGCCGTATATAAATATAGCTGACAGACACTCCGCTTTAACTCCCTGCTTGTTGTTGTCGCTATTCACACACGCAACAAGGTCCCCCACCCCAACCTTGTTCCTTTCCTGGCACATTACCTCCCTTTCGATTTCGGTTGCGTTTGGTGTTCTGTGTTTGTAGGCGAAGGTCCAGGCAACCTGGCTTGTTCTGGGGACGTCGTTCATGGTCGCCTTCACCAACGCCGCGATCAACAAAATTACCAGGATGATGGGCGTCTTCGAGAAGCACCTGAGCGTGGACAAGCAAGAGGTACGCGCAGAAGAAGGAAAATAACATGAAATACTCCCCTTCCTACGTCCCTCACGATTAAGTTCGATCGGACTCCGAGGACCCTCGGCGTAAGCGTCATGTTGTCGTTTTCTTTATGCTGATGCTGCTGCTGCATGATGTTGGTGGTTTTGTCTTTGTGCGATTCGCACGACCCCGGCAATCAATCAACCGACGGCTGGTGCTACCTAAGACTTGTGAACCGCCAAAAACTACTTGGGAAACATATATGTTGCTTGATTCACATTATTATTCTGCAACGTGCACATGAAAGGTTCGACACATGAATCAGCGGAGGTTTAGGGATAACAAAACCGGTGGGCTACTAATGACTGTCATGTTGCGTTGTGCATTCCCTTCGAAGGTGGCTGTCTACAGACGGCTGGTGCTGCTCAAATTTGTCAACATCGGCCTGACTGTCCTGGTCACCAACAGCCGCAGGGTTATCGATGTCTTAGGAGTTAGCCTCGACTACGAAGAAGATTTCACGTCCGAATGGTGAGCGAGCCAGGAAAAAGGAGGGTGTGTATAGGGGGGGGGTCGTATTTAAAGGAAGGGGCCAGGAGGGGGAGCGGGGGGTCAACACATGGTTGGGGGGAGTCGGTCGGTGTAGATGGATGGGGATGAACGATACATGCAGGGGTACAAAAAGGGGGGAAACAAGTCAAAAGGGGGGGGGTTGGCACTTTGTCCTTTACAACGAAGAGGGAGTACGTAGATCACCCGTTGGTCGCTACACTATGTCACCTCCACGCATGGACATGACTTTCTCAACGATTGCGTACGATAACGACAATGATAGACTCTTGCTTCAAGTAGTTCGCGCAACCGCCGGTTTGTGCTAGCCCTGAACTTTAGGGTTTAAAAACACAACAACAACAATATACGATTCCAACACCAGGTACCGCACCCTGGGAAGCAGCCTCGTGATGAACGTCCTCCTCAACGCGGTTACACCTCACCTGTACTGGTTGGTCCTGTGGGGCATCAAATCGTGGAAGTGGAAACACAACCGAGGCAGGGCTATCAGTCAGGAGGCCCTCAACAACCTCACCAAGGGTCTTCGCTGGGAGGTAGGCACCTGTTCTACCCTCACAGGGCGGTGCCGATTGAGGAGTGTGTAACGGTTAAGTACAGGTTTGGGTTCAATGAAATGCCTTGACGGTTTGGAGGTGTCGTGCTCATTCGTGAACTTTGAGGGCATCCCTGGTGACGTAGAGCTAGGGTTATGGGCTGGGCTTGAAGCGTGCCGTTTGGCGATGCTTGCAGAGAACGATGTGAATGCGACGTCCTCGAGCTATCGCATGGGTACATACGTCGGGAGTTGGAGCGTCGTATACGGGTTCTAGGGAATTAGCACACGTGGGAGGCTTACATGAGTGTCTTTTTGGGGTCGTGCGCGGATCTGTCACAGCGCCAACCCTCTTCATGTTATCGCGACGAAACCTCCACGTGGCGTCTTCGCGAGGGAAACCGAACACTCGTACTTTCACCTCCTCTAAAGACTGATCCTAACTACCTGCTCAGGCAGCCATTATTCCAAGTGTTGCTTACGAAGCGGTGGCCCGTTCTGAGTGTTCTATTTCAAGTATTCGTCTGTTTTTTTCTTTCGACAGGTCTCAGTGCGATACGCCGAGATCACCGTGATCTTCGCCGTGTGCCTGGCCTACTCTGCGGGCATCCCCATCCTGCTGCCCATCGGGACGCTTTCTTTCGTGCTCTTCTACTGGGTGGAGAAGGCGCTTTTCGTTAACTTCTACCTCACACCGCCACAGTACTCCGGCAAGCTTACTAATGAGGTTGTAAGGTGAGACAGCGGCCCGTCGAACCAATATTTGAACATAACATTTCTACGTTTCTTTTGGGGGGCTTTCTGAATTTGTGTTGTACCTTTATCGGAGGAGGTTTGTTTGTCGATCTCTAGCGTTCTGGTGGCCGTGAAGATTCAAGTGCCGCACTTCGTCGCGATAGTTCTCCCCTGCTACTAACATTTCTTTATCTTCCACCGACTTCACCCTCGCCCACTTCCTTTCCTACCTCTCCCTATAAAGGGGCATCAATGTATTGTTCCCTGGGGTAAACTCTCGAGGGAAACACAGGAAAACAACATCCAAACGGCTTCGTTTTAATCGATAAACCAATCGTTTCTGGTGGAAGAAGTCGGATGAAAGAGCTCTGAAAAATTCGTCGAAGCCTTGCGCTTGTCGCTAGTTTTGCCCCACGTTGCCACAAACCAAGACGAGAGGTCGTGAGACAAGCGCTGGAGAATTGAGCACTTGTTCAGAGGGGCCTCCAACTCTGAACGAAATTACGTCTGTTCCATACGCCCGCAGCTGCTTGGCAGCGGGTTTGGCTCTATGAGCTCGGGCTCCACCCCCCGCACCTAAGAACAGCACTGCAATAAGACAACTTGCAAAAGGAAGCTGCCCCCGTGCCCTCCCTACTGCCACTCATGTAGATGGCTTCATGGCTCTCGCGTGGACTCTAAATGATATATACCTGTGCACTAAATGACTACACCGCCCCCTCCCCACTTGGTTTCTCCGTAAAACCACCCTCTCTCTCAATGGCACAGCCTGATTCCATACTGCCTGTGGATCCACGTGGTGTTCGCCTTCTACATGTATGGCAACGGGACCATCTTCCCAACGGAGACGGATACGTCAGACACCTTCAACATTATTGGCAAGCTAGAAGTAAAGGTGCTTGCTGTTGTTGTTGTTGTTGTTGCTCTACATGTACGTACGTAAAATATTGTTCCTACACCTTGTTGTCGTCCGTTGTTGAGTTACATACATGCGTCGAAAAAGCTGCTACAGCCCAGGCGTGTGCCATACAACATCGATTCCAGGTGACAAAGGTCTTTCGTACCAATAGTATGCGCGAATAGCGAAACGCTCCCCAAAGGCAGAAAAAACGAAATTTGAAGCTAGGGGTCACTTCGATAGTCGTACTACAGGTGGGGTCCAACCGCTGTCGTAGTACCTCCGTGGGTTTGGTGTCTGAGTCCTACGTCCTTTTGTATGTTCTTTGCTTGTTTTCCACGCATATTCTGTTGCGTGTACGCTCATTTTTTGCTTTCCGTGTGTGTGTTTCGCCAACAGACTAAGCACATAGTCTAAGCTCGTAAAGTGGTTACGAACTCCAACGTTGTATTTTGTATTTTGTCGGAAGGTGATATTACTGTAGTTATCAATTGTTGGCTGTTGATGCGAGAATGGCGAAGCCTGACACGGTCATTTTGTGACTCGACAGGCAGTTCAGCCACTGCTGGTCCCGTTCTGCATCCTGACTGCTCTCATCGTCGAGCACTGGCTGGGGAATACCGTCCTCAACTTCTGCGGAAGGGTGGCGGCGATCTTGACGTGCAAAGGCAAACTGGCATCCAAAAAGGTGCAGTTGATATGGATCCATAGCGAAGAGTTACATTTACCCGCCCCCTAAAAGGTATAACACGTAGTACTTACATTAGTGTTGAAATCTACGTGCAGAATGTAGTCTAGAGATTCTTGAGCAGAGCCACCGTAATGTAGAGTCACCTGGCACGAAGAAGGTGTCAACGACGACGATGATGGACATCATAACAAGAGCGTGAAGAATCCAGATAGTTTGTTCAACATCTTGACGGGAAGTAACTGTGGTACCAGGAGGAAGGGATCCATGCGACAATACTACCTATGGTACGTACGTGTGGATTAGAATGCGCGTCCCCTCATGTATTTAGTATTACGATGTATTTAGTATTACGAGTAGTTTTGGCTACTCCTCAACAGCTATTGCTCTGCAATCGTCAAGCACGCCTATCTCAAGTTTATGTTAGCTCGTATTTGTTCCAGGTGTCTGTGTCGTCACCTGAAGCTAGTTTGATTCAACCTCGAAAGGCGCTTAAATAGGTTATCTACCGTAAGAGCAGGAGGGATGGCACCTCCCCTAGAGCGACTTTCGAATCTCGATTGATCCACGACCAAGGGGGTGCGGAAAGACCCCGATACGTCTATGGAAAGCCCTTGACGAGATGTTTCCAAGACGAATATTCTTGGTGTTGGCACAAGCTTGGTTGAGAAGCAATGGAGCTTTGAAGGTCGCTCTAGGGGGGGGGGTCATCTCTCCGCCTCGTACTTTGGCCGTATTTAATCCCATGATCTAAGCGCCTTTTTGCACGAGTAGCCTTCGACACTCTCTTATCAAGCTTTCTGGGTAGTCTAAGCAACATAGATGTGTCTTTCGTTTTGATTTTTGTCCCTCATCCCAGCGATATCCGTGCCTGTGGTTTCTACGCACCGTATAGCATCTCGCACAAGCGCTCTCTCCTCCTAGCTGCTAAACTGGTGCAAGTTTCTGTCGTAAAGAGATACACAGTCCTCACCTCTAGAAGGTGTTCGAGGTTGCCAACCACTACTGTACACAACCGACTGGATGGGGTCCGAAGGAATCATTGGACAACCTGTCTTTTCGGCAACCAACCAATACCGCCTCGCCTCCTCCTTTTGTACCCGCGGCGCCTGGCTGGCGGTATGTTGTGTTGGTTTTCCATCTTTTCGTTGGCTAGAGGAGATACAAATGCCAACTCCGATTAGTCCCTATTTTCCTTTGCCTTTGTTGTCTCGTGTCAGCCGGAGAGGAGGCCACTGCCAACAACATGATTTCTTTTGTGCTCTATCTATTGCGTTGCATTGAACATTTTCTACCTTGCCAGCTGGAGAGCCTATGCAACACCATGTCCGTCACTTACTCGAGGGCAGTGGTTCGGGGCATCATGCGCGGCCTGCCCAGCTACAACATTCTCCTCAACCCCAAGTGAGATATGCATACAAACTGTAGGTCGGTGTTTTTTTCGTCCTCAATATTAGAGCGTAGGGCTTCCGGTTCTTGCACTCGTTGTTGCGGTTTTTGCATTTATTTGCTTCTCTCCGTCAATCTGGTTTGCTATCGCTAGTTCTTCAATATAGTCATTATAGAGCAAGCGTTCGGGATCATAGGTTCGTTGGTTCCCACCACTAGTCGAGGCGATTGTGCGTCAAACACAATATACGTAGACACCCTTCGGTGATGTGTTTCAATCCGAAGCGATCCGAACAGAGGGGCGTCGCTGCAACGGTTGCAACGTTCGATGAAGGAACAGGAGAACATGAAGGAAAGCGTACCGACAGCTGAGCACATGGTATCAGGAACAAATGCCATCCCTCAACCCAACCGTACGCCCCCCCATCCGGCCTTGCACCGATATCGGCGGTTTCTGCGGTTACATTTTCTATCTTTTAATGTTTGGTGTTTGCCAGATACAAGGAGAGCTTCGGACTGAGTGACGGTTTTGCCTGCCAGCACAAGCGGGTTGGCTCGGTGTTTATGATGCTGAACGAGCACCCATCCATTTTGGTCATGAGAGAGGTGAGTTTACAACAACAAAACAACGTCACCGAAGTTAGTTTTCGCGGTGCCCTTCCATCCGACCAACACTTTCCGAGCGGTGCAACACGAGTCAACATGAGTCTACCCACCTAGGAAGTACTGAAGCGAGTTTGTCGTCAATCTCCCAATGGCAAGGTCACAGAGAAAGCTCTTATCCCCTATCAAGACCTGCTACGCACTTCCTACCCCGTGGCCATGTTGCTCGCGATAATGAAATCAGGCGATGCACGACGAACACGTGGAGAAGAAGGCCAAGAAGTACGGGTCCCAGAAACGCCACAAGAGCGCGGCCGCAGCCTCTCATGCCTCGTCCGAGCACGTCCCGGACTCGGCCACCAACAACTACGTCAGCAACCAACCCTACCCCCCATGGGGCGCCTCCGTGCAAACCCCGAGCCCCATCACCAGTCAACTCGGGCACAGCGGCATCGACACCGACAGCAGCAATCGGACCTTGAGACACGGCCAACGCAGCTAGTGCTCCTTCCTCACCTTCTGTGTCTGTCTTGGTCGTCGCCGAGTCAACTCACCGCACGGTGGGTGGGAGAACTCCTAGGCGGCGACACCAGGGCCCCTCCGCACCCCCCAATTTCGGCGGGCAACCGATGTGCCATATTGTACGATGGGGGCGTTGAGTCGCCGGCCACCGATCGTGCACCGCCGGGACAAACACAACACCTGCTTGTTCCGGTCTTGGATATGAAGACCGACCATCCGGACGCAACCTTCGAAGTATCAAGCAAAAATGAAAGAAAAAGGGAGCGGTTGTGACGCTCGGCGGGTCAGTTTCGTTTTTGCCCAATCAGAGAGACGCAAAAAGCGTCCACGCGCCACGCCCCTGCCAGCCCAGGGGCAACAAGTGGTAACTCTGCTGTTGAGATGTTAACTTGAATACATGTGAGGAAGCCTTGACAGTGTATCCTATGTTGAACGATGTTTACTACGTGGTATGGTAGGGCACATCCTGTATTGTAAGGAGGTTTCGATTTCTCGGAAAACATAGATTCTCCCTCGCGCGGTGCTGCCAACGTCTTCGTGTGACGTCCAGTGCAACCGTTTCTGCAAGTATTTCCGTTCTATTCTGTGTGAAGTTTTAGAGGGGTTTAGAACGTATGCTACCTCGCAGATGATGTATATGTAAGTTTCTAAATGCAATGCCTCGCTTGTATTTGCGTGTCATTTCGTCATTTCCGATCGATGCACTTGTTTGGCTCCCTTGTCACAAATGGGGCGCTTTCTGCGGCAACAAGGGCGCTTGTTTGCCTGTTTTTGAGGGGAGGGGCAGCGAGGCAATACTGTGGCGGCACAACGAGCCAGGGTAATGACCGTGAGCAGCTGCACTAGCCGTTCGTCATGTTATAAGAAGGTGGTGCGCGTCCATTCGCGCCTGTGTCTGACGTATGCCTGGCACTTTACTCCCCCCCTGGTACAGTAGTGTCGAGTAACTGTCGGTATTCTCGAGAACATTGAGATCTTCCAGTTGTGGGTGTGTTCAAACTCGGGCATGCCTCTTGAAGCGTATTTGTAGTTGACAAGCAAGACGCTGGTTTGTTGGAATACAGGAGAAGGAGCTCGATAGGATTGTTGACGATGGCAGGGGGGCTGCTCAACCGTTTCCTCACTACAACATTGAAGGCGTGTAATGCAAGAGGAAGGCAAGGGGGCCTCACGGACAGGAAACCATGCATAGTCTTTGAAGGACATGCATGCAGCATGGACAAGTGTGTCGGATAAGAGAAAGGACGGAATCGAGTAATCATATCTGAACCATGTGCATAGTTATCTTGTCCTCCGCCAGACTGGGAAACACGAGAAGTTTCGCTCATGATTGCTTTCTTCCCTATCGCGCCACCACTCCATTAATTCTGATCTGCTATCGATTGTGGTAGGAGGTCGATGCAACGCCTCTGTCTCGCGTGTTGCTCCGTTCGTTGTTTAACGACGCAACGTTTCGTCGCTGTCGGCAGACGGTGACTAAAGAGTACGGTCTTGCCCCCTGTTTCTCCTATTTGGCGTGCCACGTACTCTTTTAGGACCCTCAGGACAAATAGATAAGGTCTTCACAGACAAACACTCGACTCGTCACCTTAATCGAGAGCGCAACCTCGCAAAACGCGGTTATGCCAACTCGAGAACACACGAAAACACCCAGGAACATCACACCCCATGCCGCCAGACTCGGTTCCATTTATCGCCGTTGGTCCTGAACGGAAGGGCCGCATTTCCTGTAGGCCTGGAAGTCCGCGGTTCGCAAGCCTACCACCCCCACACACACCACCACCCGGAGCCCTGATTTACGGTTTGAATAAATGTTTTCGCGGCTCTCGGCTGTCGACCTCCTGCAACGCGCAAAAGGCGTCCATGCCATTGCTTCGGAACGCGTCTATGTCTCACACCACAATCGTCGATGTACTTTTCACACAATCTTGAAAGAATGGCGCGTCCGCGCGGCTAGAAACGGCTGTTGGAGGAACGCCTGGGGTTGGTCAGCTCTTGATACTTAGAGTGCTACCGTCCCTCACACTAGTCGGCGGGTTGACGGGAACCGAACACTAGACAGCGATTGACGTCCTGCAGCATCATGTCCCAAGTGCCCGAACCGAGACTTTCCTGACTTCGTGCAAATCATGGTGCTGAAAATCGACTATCACCAGCATCTACACGCCAACCCCCCCTCCAGTAAACCAGTCAACCCGACTAGCGATCACACTATGAGCAGGGCGATCGGTGACGATATCTTAGCCTCGTTGCACCATTGCGACTCACGCAGCGCGGTCCCCGAAGGGTTAGCGTCTATCTGCACCCCCAAACCCCGTCAATCATATTGTTACGCGCCCTCTCCGGTGAGATGGGTGTCATCTGCAATTGTTGGCGAGGCTCGTGTGAGCGCTGATACACACGGCGTGCGGACGCACTCTCGCCATCCAAGAAGAACCAAACAAAACACGAGCGCGGTGGAACCAAAACCTAACAGCGTCGTCGGCTCATCTGGCACACGCTCATTTGTGCGACCCTGGTCGGTAGCGTGTTGGAGAAGGGGGCAGAGGGAGCAACCTTCCCTTCTTGCCGAACTTGCGCTTAGGCCGGCCCTTGCCGGAGCCGCCCCTCCCCTCCGGGTCGTAGACGTTGACGGACTTCTTGAGGGACAGGCGGACCTGCATGCCGTGGAACCCGAACTCCTTCTGCAAGTTTTTGGTGATGTATCTGTGATTGCCGGACGAGGGGGAAAGGAGAAGGACGCCCATCCGCAAGAAAAGGGTACTCTTCGGGTTGGTTCCCGGGGAAAAGACAGAACGATCCCCAGCCAGCCAATACAAACCTCTTATGCATGCATACATGTGCGTCATAACCCAGAAAAACTACATGGACTATTGACATCACAACTCGTGATCATGACAAAGCTATTTGTATGTCGTGGCAGCGAGACATTTCCGTCTTCACGGTGTATGGCACTGGCAGCCTTGCCCAATAGCCATCAAGAAAACCCCCGTCCTGCCAGCAAAATTACCGACGAAAACACACGCCCCTTTTGCGTCCGTTGTACGAGTTCCGAGCTATTACAGCAAAGATTCATCTCCAACTCCCCGGACAACTTACGACAAGAGTCGGCTGTTTTCGCAAAGAAAGAACGTTCTCAATCGCGCCATCCCCTGCGCCCAAGAAAACAAACAAGCATCCCTCACCGTTGGTAATCCGCCGGGATCGAGAGATGGTTCACGAACACCCTGAACTCCGGCGGTCCCCTCTTGACCTGGGTGAGGTACTTGAGGGAGCAGGCCCCGCCCGTCGTGCTGTCGCGGGGGGGCGGGTGCAAGAAAACGATCTTGCGGAGCCAGCGGTTCAGGACGGCCGTCGGTACGCGAGCTCGCCACCGCTCCCGCGCCTTGATGACCGATCGCATCAGGCTCCCCACGCCGGAGCCTGATTGTTTGTTTCGATGCAGGATCGATATTTCCGTGGGGGTCGGGCACGCAGGCGGGGGAGGGGCTTACTCTATTGTTGTGCATGTTGTAGTTTTTAGACCATTGACCACGGGTCATGGAGAGAACAAGCATTGTCCCCACAGGACCAATCACCGATGGCCAGCCGCGCGGATGGGGGGCGGAGAATATGGGAAAGCGGCGTAGGTGGCTTGGAAAGTAATCTTCCGTCTCCCGAGGGAGGGGACACTCTGGGGCCACAACTCCTTACAAGTAGGGTTTCTACAAACACAGGCGTAGTACCACTTCTCGGATCGGCACGCCTGAAGACGTTGTTGGACGAGCACCTTGCCAATGAAGCGCGTGTTCACCTTGAACACGCGCTGAGGGCTGCTCACCTCACGCCAGTTGAGCTAGTTTCTGTAGTGCTCCGACTTTGCCTAATGTTATCTCGACAACTTTTACCCTATGTATCATAGGACTACCACACCATGGAAGCGCCAAAATCAAGCATGCTAACGACGACCCGTCGATTTCTAGGATACATGGGTCAAAGTGTAAAGTATGAAGCGGAATCATAAGTGGGCCAGAGAGCCAAACACGGTAGGCGATGCTTACCGTCTTGACGCGGTAAGAAGCAATTTATTGTATGCTTACCGTCTAGACACGGTAAGAAGCAATTTATTGTATGCTTACCGTCTAGACACGGTAAGAAGAAATTTATGGTGTGATGCTTCCCGTCTAGACACGGTATGAAGTAGTTATTGTGCTTACCGTCTAGAGCACACACGGACAAGACCGGTGGTGCCCGAACGTCCGGCATAAGATCCTCCACTTGTCGGATCACTCCCTTCGCGTACTCTCCCGGGGACACCCCGGAAAGGTCGGACTTGTTTGCGGCCACGACCAGCGCCCTACCCTCCGTCGCGACTTGGGGGGAGAGATAGAGATAAAGGTATAGATAGATAGATAGATAGACAGACAGACAGACAGAGGCAGGTAGACGAGCGGAAAGCCACACAGAGAGAGAGCGAGAAAGATTCACATGGGAAGACGTGTGTTTGCGGAAACATGCTTGTTCGAGAGTTGAAAAGCTGCGGCCACGATTTTGAGAAGGAAACACAAATGGCGCTGAAAACTCATGCGCCCCCGTTTTCCTTCCGCTTTAACCACGGAAGGAACCGTCCCTGCCTTGCATGATTTTGAGAAAATACAACAACCATGGAAGGACACTATGAAAGAGACAACCCTTGTCTTCAAGAGCGGCTGACTTACCCATGGAGGCGATAGACAGCTCTGTCTTTCGAAGCATCCCTTCGGAGCCGTCAAGGACCAGCACGACCACCTGCGGGCAAGGGTGGCGGTGGCGAGTGGTGCGGCTGTGGAGCGGCTGTTCGTGCCGGCAATCGATCGAGGAAACAACATGCGCGAGAGAATGCCACATGATAACCCCAAGTACAACGCGAGGGGTGCTGCAGTGGCTAACTGCGTGACAACGAGGCACGGCAATGCCATGCTACCTGCAACAACGGTACGAGTACGCACGAATGGATAGTGACGGGGCGAGAAACAGACAGCGGGATCTTTAGGTCGCTTGTCTCGCAATCCAGGTGAACAAGCACACACAACAAACAACCAAGGAAACCACGCCCGCGCAAGGCAATACACACTGTATGATACAACAACCATGCAAGACATGTGATACGCCTGCCGAACGCGCACATCGGGTGATACAGCCTTTATGGCGATCGTTCCATCCCTGGTTGTTCCGCGCGAACTTCTCGGGCTCGTGGGGGGGCTATTCGGACAGTTTAACCGACCGGGAAGGTCTTCCACGGAACACATACAAAAATAGAAGCATACTCCGAATATACCTGGGCCTTATGGATGGCGTTCATGGAATCTTTTACCGCCAGCTCTTCGAGGGGGGTGGTAGTGTCGCGGCTGCCGCTTTTCCTAATACCTGGGGCACAGACGTTTGAACACCATCCGAGCAGGGGTTGAATTAAAAGAGGCGAACAAGCAACATTTTTCCTACCATTGTTCCGCTTAAACACCATCCGAACAAGAGTTGAATCAAATGGGCACGCCGCAAGCAGCATGTTTCCTAACACTTGTCCCGCCTTTGTTTTCATAATCTGGACGGAGGGACGGAAACTGCCGAGCCGTGGAGGCATTTGCTGAGAGGGGTTGTTCAAAGCCGAACCGGCTCAACCTGGTGTCTAGTTTCCACCACCACCGATAAGAGCCTTTTCTTATCCTACCGAACTACAAAACACCAGCGGCGGCTTGTTTCGTCGCCCTCTTAGTCCACGAGCCAAAATTCAGTGTTGACGATGAGCTACGCAATGAAATACGTGCCAACACCAGCATCACGGCACAACACATGGTAAAAATCTAGCAGAAGCTATTCGCACACCGCTACAATACCCAACCCACCAGCGGTGTCCACCAGCCGGACAGCCTTCCCTCCCCAAGTCCATTCCACCGCCACGGCGTCGCGGGTGAGCCCCGGCGTCGGTCCGGTCAACGCCCTGTCCTCGCGCAGCACCGCATTAAGCAGCGACGACTTCCCTGGCGCAGTCAGGACGAAGGGTGACAACGATGGTGACAACAACATCAACGACAAGATGGCAACATCAAAACGACAGGAAAGACGACGCTTCCAACAAGCGACGGTCTCCCTGATGTAGAAAACTAGCGACGAGGGTCACCACAGCTAGGATGATGATGACAGCAACAACGACAACAACAACAACAACAACGAGGTTGACAAACACAAAAAATAACAGCAACACCAACGGAAACAACAACGGCGGAACCTCTTCACAGCAACAAACGACCGCAGCGACGACCAACTTATGATCATGGATAAAAAACGGGCAAGATTCGAAAGAGGGGTGATAGTGCGCGCCCGCAAGACCCCAACACGTTCGAAAGATCAACCTACCAAAACTCCACGCGGAAACGAGGCAAAGCCTTCCATCGACGGCCTTGCAACTTCCGCGCTAAAGCGCTAACAGCTTGGCTAGCCGGCCATTGTCGTGATCCTGCGATAGACGACATCACCTCGTCCACTTACCGACGTTCGGTCGGCCAACCAGCGCCAGCTGAACCGGCTCCTCCGCTTCTTCTTCCTCTGATAGGGGACGGTTGGACTCCAACCCCGCCTCGGCTGCCGCCTGCGAAAGTGTTCCATGTGGCAGAGGAGCATGAAAATCTCGGTTCTCTGCCGCTTCATGGTTTCCTTTTCCATGCATCTCGCAAAGGAGCACCCGTGGACCTTGCGATATATTCTACATCAAATACTTCGATCATTGTGTGTATTTGCTGGGCGTTACGTTGGCAGCGCTTGAGGCGGGAGGTGTTTCGCAGTTCCCCGCCCCCGTGTAGGTTGCACTCTCACTCCCTGTGCAGGGAGCTGTGGTAGGCATCGTATCCCGCATTTTGACGGAGTGGACTTCCGGTTTGACAGCGACAGACAACGTTGCAGCGCCAACGCTTGGAACGCTCCGTTTGGATGTCGTAAATCGCATCGTATACAGGTGAACCTAGTTTTGCTGCGACCGGTGTCCAGTGAGCCAGCGCGTGCACCAATACACAACGGAGTATGATTCACAACGCACCCTATGCATACCACGGTATACCAGCCAGACCAACATGGGACGAAAACCTACCGAGGCGGTCCCTTTCCACACCGCATGCGGAAATACCCGCCTCAAGCGGCACAACCGCGACTAATCAACGGATAGTACCTCTAAAACCTTAAACAAGGCATGAATGAACCACCTTCAAGAGGCAGTGCTGGGAGTACCCCCTCACCTCCTGCTCCTTTTCCCATTCCTCGTAGTGAGGGACTAGGGCAGTTGCGAAATCCGCCATGCCGTCCCCATGCGATGACGAAATCGCGAGCGGTTCGCCGAACCCCAGCCTGCCAATCACATTCCAGGGTCGCAACAGAGCGCGCCGGGAGGGGGCGGGCGGGGAGGGTACTCATGTTTTGCATGCCTGAGTTGTTAGACCAGAGGGCGGGGGGTACTCATGTAAACGTATGCCGTAGTCGTTAGACCATTGACCTCGCATCCCTACCATGCCGGGACGGAGCCATGTGTCCCGGTTTCCGCCGGCGCAGGCTACGTTTCACAAGGATGACCCAGAAGCTGCTCATCGTCCTTCCGTTTGCTGGAGGGAAGGGGGGAGGGGGGAGGCATTTGCTCGTCGTAACAGAAAGTTTTTCCATCTTGTTTCATGCTCAAACGTAAAACCACGTGTCCCTCTCGGAACAGAGGGAAAAAATGTGGCAGATTATTCCCTGTGCGAAAAAAGCCTATAGTATCGTGAGTGGTATCATGCTGCGAGCGGTTGTTGCTCGGGAAAGGAGGAGGTAGGGAGACACAACCAAGCAGTTAAACCGACGCACACAAGATAACGATCGATAAACTTCTGAAGGAAATCACGCCGAACCGCAAAGACATAATCCGGTGTGCTGCCGCCATGACCGCAGGAGCACTTCTGCCTTCGAGCGATGCTCGCACCTGCCACACTCCTCTAGCGTCTGGGACATCTGCTCCGTCAGCTGTCCCTCCGTCTTGTTGGCCACGATGTACACCCCGCGGTGCCGCCCCTGCCGCTTCCGCACCCACCTTATGTTGCGTGGCACGTGGGTTTGGTTGTTCACAACGCAGACGGTAAGAAAAGACGGTAAGACATGGTTGTTCACAACGCAGACGGTAAAAAAAGACGGTAAGACATGGTTGTTCACAACGCAGACGGTAAAAAAAGACGGTAAGACATGGTTGTTCACAACGAAGACGGTAAAAAGAGACGATTAACACGGTTGTTCACGACGCAGGCGGTAAAAAGTAGGGCATGTACGCCCGAGGGAAAGGGGCGTATAGCAGTCTTGGCTTGGACATCTCTCTGGATCAGAAACCTTAGGCGGGCGTGCAGGCTTGCGAGCGGGAAGGGGGGAAACGGGCTGGGAGGGATCACATGGGACCCATGATCAAGGCATATGCGGATGGTGATGACCAACAGCGAAGTTCACCCCAACAAGACGCGGCGTCTCGCGGTCTTATCGTTGCCGCACACACGGTCGCTTACAAGGACGGCGGCGGCAGTTCTTCCTCAACGCGTTTTCCAAGAGAAAGGCAAAAAGAACCCCAGCGAAGTAACCTTTCGCTTTCTACCTGTGCTAAAACTAACGCGAGGGCGAAACTATCGGCATGCACTGAGTCTCCCAAAACCTGTGCTTCGGGTAAGGGCGGTCGAATTGGAACCAGCGCGTCACAGCAACTGTATGTGGACGGAGGAAACCGCCTTATAGGAACGGAAGAGGGGAGGAACGATGACAACAACAACAACAATAACAACAACAACAGCAACAAGATACACGTCCGTTTTGGTACTACAACACGCTGCTAAGCCGCAGCCTTCTGGGTGCAGTAAAGAGTAGCAAATCACGCCTCACACCAACTCATACCTACCACTCCCTTACGATTCAATATCGCACTGTATCATGTGATCTAAATGCTGCGCAACATCCACTTATGCCAGGAATATGACGCATGTTTCTATTTAGTGTTGTTGCCGCTTCTGTTGCTACACCTTGCGTAGTGGCGGTCCGCCTCCGTTACCCCCTGTCGAGCATCAACCATGAAGAGCACGATGTCGCTGTCCTCGATCGCCTCCTCGGTCTTCTTCAGTACCACTTGGGGCATGCCGGGATGAGGCGTCCCTGAAGACACACACCACCACCGCCACAACCATAGAGAAGAACGACGGAGAGAAACGGCAACCAGCCACAGAAATCGCGGGTACCAAGACGGGGAAAGGACCGGCGTAAGCTCTCGGCGGCGGCAATGAAGGCACAGATGGCCATGTAGAAAGCAAAGGAGCGCAAACTTGGTCGCCCTGATGGGGATCTGACGGAGGGTTGTAAGAACGTGCCTGACAACACCCGTATAGCTGGTTCCGCTGGGAGCATGTATCTCCTCGTGAGCATGGCGAGGCGATGTCCATGTGGTGTGCACGGATGTGAATGGTGGATGACCACAGGGTACCACCCAGCCGCGAAGCTCGACCTTACTCCGAACGTACATGCATGCTTGTGGGACAGCAGAAAATGGGCGAACGCTCCCTTCCGATGTTTGTCACAGCGGTGTACGCGTGTTGGCCCTTGGCTTTTGTCCAATACCTGGAGGGCCTTTCCAAGGCTCGTCTGCACCGTCTTCCAGACCACCAGTGTCGGCGAAATCGAACGTCATACCCCCCAGGGACACCTGCGGCAGCAGTTATGAGTGGCACTGTGTGGGTTGTGGCAACAGATTACCGTATATGACACAAGATAACACACCCCCTGGACCAATTTTCAAAGCTCGAATACGCCACGACGAAGAGGATGCATGAATGAAACGACACATTTTCGGAAAGCTCTCGACGAGACAGCTTCAGCGCCACCGTTTTCGGCGCTGTGACTTTTTCTGCTGTTGAGAAAACGATAATTGAAAATCGGTCCAGGGGGTATGTTATCTTGTGTCATTTACGTTAATAGTACAGTATTGCAGTATTACAAGAGAGGTTTGGAGAACATGTGGGGGTCAACGGCACCATCCGGACTCAAGAAGCAACAGCTTGCCGATTGTAAGACAGGGGTCAGACGGCCAGAAAGTTAGATGAATCGATCCTTACAGGCTATGCGAACTCTACTTGAAGGGCTACTGGTAGCTCGCCGGCCATCCAGGCAATTAGCGTAGCAACCACACTGCGTGTTGTAGGCGTGGGCAGCACAAACCACCACCCCTGTTTTTTTACTTCGGGATAAAAAATCGTGATGGTAAGTAGCACCCACGGTCGCTTTACCTGTAGGGCGATGCTGTCATTCCTCACCAGCACTGGGTGTAGTTGGAATTCAAACTCTCTCATTCCCTTGTCTCAAAGAATCCCGGGACGCTTGTCTACACGTTGAAATTATTGCAAGCTTGTCAAGAATTTTCCTCGAGAAAGCTGGAGGTAGATTTGTTCTTGTCAGGAACCTGCTCTTAACAGATTTTGGACGTAGACTGCATGGCATGATATGCCTACTGCTACAAATTAGAGTAACGACCGGCATACTCCACTACTTTGACTAAGTATCGAGCGATTTTGTCAATTTTTTCGATTGCGAACAGTCCGCGTGAAGTGTGGTACGATGAGCTGTGAAACGAGGCTTGGAAGCAAGAACACTTTTACTTGCGATGACCTACAAACTATCGGCGCGGGCACAATAAGCTTTGTTTGAGATCTCCTGCTGATGTAGTAGGAATACTTAGCAACGGTGACAAAGAGCTTAACCAGGTGGTATCAGCGGCAAATCGTATAGCGGGGGGGGGGGCGGGGACGCCTTTTCCCGCCGGAGAAATACGCCTTCGATTCTAATGTTTTATTTCAATTTGTGCCGCTTTACAACAAGCTTGACCACTCCATGCAGCCAAAAGAAACCCCGTCCTCCCCCTCGGGCGTCAACGAAAACTAGCGCACACCTGCACATCATACAACCAAACACGCACCGTTGACTCCTTTCGGTCTCTAGTCGTGCCGGCGATGGGCGTGACGATAGCCCTGTTCCGGGTGGCCAGCCGATTGTACAGCGTCGACTTCCCGACGTTGGGCCTCCCGACGATAACCACCCGAAACGCTCCTCCGCGGGCCGGTGCGCTGAGCGGCGGCCGTTTCACTAACGCCTGCAGGAAACCCTCTCCGCTTTCTGCCGCTGGGTTGCCGTTTCGCACCGAGTTGCTGCTGCCGGGCCACCGCTGTTGTCTACGGCCGCCGGCGCCGGCGCCGGCGCCCGCGCGTGGTTGTGTGCTGAGCCGGCGAAGGCTGTGCTGTGGGTTCCGCGCTGCTGTTGCGGTCATTGCCTTTGGGGAAGGGGGTGGGAAGGGAAGAGGTAGATAGTTGTTTGAGCGGGTGGTTCTTGGCAAGAGCAACATACCCTCTATGGTAGGTGTGTTTGACAGCTTGAGGACAACTGCATGCATCGGACTCATGGGACGCATTGCTGCTGTGATACATGAGGTATTCACGACTTGGCAGTCACCATGGATTGTTGAGCGAAAGACACGGCAATGTGGGTGTCTGCGCCGCCTATGTCTAGCTGCTAGCCCTTCGGGCGTTGTGCGATTCATGCCGGGTACCGGTCAGGACTTTGCACGCACCTGCACTTCACAAGCGGCCACAGGTGCAATGAATGTTCGTCAACTGCCGCGAAAGTGTGCTAATACGTGATTATGGCAGGGTTCGGATTCACCCACATGTGCCACTTCCTTCTTGGAATACTGTGTACACCACCTGCAGCGAATCTGGACGAAACTCGCTGCTAATAACATCACCGTTCCGCTGGGGCACTGGTGCCACTGCCGCTACCATCAGCCCGCTGCCGCATGCAGGCACGGAGGCAATGGCCGGGCTTGGCGGTTGCTGTTGCACGTGGGTTCACCAGCATCTGCATCTGCAGCAGCGGTACACAAAATCTACCAATACATCAGCACCACACCTTCTTGGCCACTGATCTGAGAACCCACACTGGCGGTTTACTGGAGGCTTCGAACCTCCATACTTGTTGACACGAACCCGCCAGCCTCGTGAGGTTACATCGACCCAGCACCATCGAGGCCACGTGACGTGGTTGCCGTACAAGTGAGGAGTGCAGTGTGATGAGAGAGGTGCTCCTCTGGTGCTCTGGTGACAAAAAACTCAAAAATGCGGCGTAATCGGGGAGTCCGTGGATCGTTTCATGAGGGGGCGACCTCTGCCTGTCTGCACGCTGCTGTGTAACATTCGATTCATACGCCATCACACAGGTGACGCACGCGTGCAGCAGTGCAGCATGGGTTGGCTACTGGCGTTCGGCCTCGGCGGATTGGCGCTTGAAGGTGAAGTTTTGCTAGTAGTGCTGCTGCCTGCGACATTGCGCACGGCATCGAGCTCAGTGGCGGTGTCTCTTGGTAGAGGAGGGCGACACACATGAACCACCTGCTGTTTTTTTCGATGACGATCTTTATGTTCCCATACATGTACGCCAACGTCATCCCCACAAGTGCGCGCCTACAATAGCTCCTACGTAGTGACCCCCCCGCCCTCGCCAACCCACCCTCGTCAACAGCGCCTGTCAACACCTTCCTCTTGCAGCTAGCTGACCTGCAGTTTGTCCCGTGCCTCTCTTGTCATTTTCGACCGAAATACCCTTTGAACTTTGAACTGCTGTGCTGGTGTACGGCGGTAGGCGCTAGCGGGTTCACGCTCCTGCCACGCCTTCTTCGGGAGAAGGCGACGTCACGGCCGTTTGTTCCTCCACCCAGCAGCAGCAGCAGCGTGGCAACAACCGGCGGCAGGGATAACAGCCTGACCGGAGAAGTGTGCAGCACGAACGCCGTCGCGGCCGCTACTGTCTGCAGCTCTAGGAACAAGAAGAGGAGGTCGAAGGCGGTTTTTCCGCTGCCTGCCACAAAGGCATCAGATCTCCCCTCGTTTGCCTCGTCGGGGGATGGCGGCGACGACAAGGCGGAGGAGGGTGGGAAGGAGGGGTCGGGGGACGCGGCAGAGGAAAAGAAAGAAGTAGAAGCTGCCGCGAAGGCAGTGGTGGATGCTGACGAGAAGCCGGAGGCGGCGGAGGAGGACAAGAAGAAGGACGGGGAGGAAGTCGTCGCCCCCGCTCCCTCGGATGCCACAGCGGCAGACTCGCCTTCGCCCAACGGCGAGAAGGCAGAGAAGAAAGAGGGAGAGGGCGACCCAGCGCCAGCTGAGGGGGGGGACAAGAAAGAAGAGAAGGACCCCACAGCGACGGCTTCGCCCTTGCCGACGATCGACGTACCGCCGTTGCCAGCGGTCTCCGCCCCGCCGCCGCCAAACGGCGGGAAGGTGTCCGCTCCGCCGTCACCAAACAGTGGGAAGGTCTCTGCTCCTCCATCGCCCAACAGCCCGAAACCTGTGGTAGCAGAGGAGAAGAAGGAGGAGAAGAAGGAAGAGAAGAAGGAGGAGGCAGCCCCCACGGCTACGTCGTCGCCGTTGCCAGCGGTCTCCGCTCCGCCCCCGCCGAACACCGGCAAGGTCTCCGCTCCGCCGTCACCAAACAGTGGGAAGGTCTCTGCTCCGCCATCGCCCAACAGCGCGAAACCTGTGGTAGCAGAGGAGAAGAAGGAGGAGAAGAAGGAGGCAACCCCCACGGCTACGTCTTCGCCGTTGCCAGCGGTCTCTGCTCCACCCCCGCCAAACACTGGAAACGTCTCCGCTCCGCCGTCCCCAAACAGTGGGGTATCCGCTCCGCCGTCGCCGAACACCCCGAAGGAGGAGAAGAAGGAAGAGAAGAAGGAGGAGAAGGAGGAGGAAGACAAGAAGGAGGAGAAGGAGGAGGAAGACAAGAAGGAAGACAAGAAGGAAGAGAAGAAGGAGGAGAAGGAAGACAAGAAGGAGGAGAAGGTTGAGGAGAAGAAGGAAGAGAAGAAGGAGGAGAAGGAAGACAAGAAGGAAGACAAGAAGGAGGAGAAGAAGGAAGACAAGAAGGAGGAGAAGGTTGAGGAGAAGAAGGAAGACAAGAAGGAGGAGAAGGAAGAAAAGAAGGAAGACAAGAAGGAGGAGAAGGTTGAGGAGAAGAAGGAAGACAAGAAGGAGGAGAAGGAAGACAAGAAGGAGGCAGAGGTCGCTTCCATCCCGCCCGTGGCAGCGGTCTCCGCTCCACCTTCGCCAAACAGTGGGGTATCCGCTCCGCCGCCGCCAAACACCGGAGGAGTATCGGCTCCGCCGTCACCAAACAGTGGAACGGTTTCTGCTCCGCCGTCGCCGAACAGCCCGAAGACAGTGGTGGCGGAGGAGAAGGAGAAGAAGGAGGACAAGAAGGAAGAGAAGAAGGAAGAGAAGAAGGAGGACAAAAAGGAAGAGAAGAAGGAAGAGAAGAAGGAGGAAAAGAAGGAGGACAAGATCGAGATCAAGGGAAGCGGGAAGGTGGCGTCGCAGGACGAGGACAAGCTGACGCCTCTGGACATGCTTGTCGGGCCGTTCATGGTGTTCGCCACCGGCATGCAGAAAGAGGTGAGTAGTCCTTGACTATAGTAGTATAATAGTACTAGTCACCTACCTGTCCTGTCCGTGAGTCGGCCAAGTATGGGGGGAGGAGGAGGAGCGGGTAAGGTTTCCGTGCGTATCGGCCATAGGCGTTACATTGGCGGGCCACAAATTGTTTCGCTTTTTTTTCTGTTGCGTGTGTGTGGCTTGGTGTGCAGCTGTGCGGGGTTGCTTCTGTAGTCGTGCGCTTTGCATGGCAACGTCGCTGAACACCTCGTGGCACTGCTGTTTTGTTGGTGCTACTCTCTGGCAGTGCGTAAAGCACAACATGACGCCTTGCGGCGATGGACATTTTATCAACGATTTCCAAACCAATACATCAGTCAGTCAGCCGGTCCGATGGTTGATTTTCGTTCCTAAAACATGACAATGCCTCCTTTTTCAATCCGTTCTCTACTCGCTCCACTGCTGGGTTGTCGAAATCCAGGCCCTGGAGCCCAAATGCGATATTGTAGGTAGTGTCTGGGCGGGTGTCCATGATATCGTGGCATGTCATCTTTTTTTCCCGATGTGTGTTGTATGGCGACCAGGCGACACCATTACCCGGACCTCCCTGAGCCATGGTTGGTTGTCCCTCCAAGGCAGCACCCTGAATCTAGCCCTCAACCCTCAATCAATACATTCCCGACCCTCCTTGAGACTTAGTTGTCCCTTCAATGCAGCACGCTGAATCTAACTCTCGCGCTTTTTTTTTTTCTTTCTGTCCCCGCCTGCAGGCCGAGTTCCTGGAGGGTGAGCTGAACCAGCGGGTTTCGCAAGTTACGGCCGAGTTCCAGGCAGACCGCAAAAACATGGAGGAGACCCTCAGAGAGGTACATACGTGTGCACACGTACGGCATGGCGGTGACGTCTGTAGTTGGTCGATAGATCAATGAGTTCATTTGATTGGTCCATGCGCATCGTAGCGATGCCCCCCCCCCCCCCGACCCTTGAAAGAAGGGATAGGGATGAAGAAGTACTTGGACGGCCCCATGGACTATGCGAAAAAGCTGAAATTGCAATTTCGAGTAGGCGATCTGGACTTGCCAGAACGGAGGAAGAGGTATACCAGCCGTAGGAGAGAGGAAGAGGAGGATAGACACACATGTCCATGTGGCAAATCGGAGGAGAGTAGACCCCACATAGTTGGGGAGTGTGAGTTGTACAGGAAGGAAAGAGAGGATCTCGAGGAGGAAATGAGACAGAGAGGGTGTGACATGGACAAGTTTGGTAAATTAGACAACAGCGAAAAAACGATCGCGATAATTGGGGATAGATGGTGGGCACAAGAGGCCCTAGAGGACGGGGATAAGATGTGCAAGAAATTTTTATGGAGTTTGTGGCAGAAACGTAAAGAGCTCCCAAATGTTGGTGGTGTCTCTAGTAGGTGTAGGAACGGTGCTCCGTCTCGAAAGGGACGCGTGGTCAATGGTCAAATGACTACGGCAAGCAACAAATGAGTACGCCCCCCCCCCCCCCCCCCCC